GGTGGTGGTGGTGGTGCTGGGGGTAGGTTTGGGGGTTCTGGTGGTGGTGGGGGCGGCGATGATGTTGTTGGTGGTGGCGGCGGCGGTGGTGTTGATGGCGGCGATGGCGACGCTCATGTTAATAAAGGTTGCTGGGCGCTTGCTTACAGGTTGCCAGATTGGTAATGTCATCACCCTGCCGCTTGCTGCATTACTGTGTGACTACGGCTTTGACGGAGGCTGGCCTTCGATCTTCTACGTACTTGGTAGATGTCAATGCGTCCTATACTATTCGCCGCGAACATTTCGTAACTGACCCCTGTGTGGCAACTCGGCTGCGTCTGCTTAAAATTTTCGTCACACTTATTCAAACGTGTCAGGATAAAGTGTTCGGTGTTTGTTGAGTCGAGAAGTCGAAACCAGACAAACCAAATTTTTCATTGCTAAACGTTTGTTGTAGAATAACTGTATAAGTAAAAATAACTGATCGTAGTGTGGTGATTGCTGTGCAGGGCTTTTTGGTGTGGTCTGGTGTGTAGTTTGGCTGCTCGTCGCAGCGGACACGCCTCACTCTAGTCGCTGGATCTCCCACGACGAACGCCACTACATAGAACACAGCCTGGCCGGCCAGATGTCGTACGAAATCAAGGTGATCAAGAGCGATTGAGGTTACGATAAAATAACTAGATTTGAGAATAAGGAACTAAACATAATTGCCGTGATGTACATGTATTGAATTGTGACGACAAACGTACAACGTAGCACGTAACAGTAAGCAAACAGTTGTTGTCAATACAGATGACGATATGTGTTAATAGGATCAAAGCACTCCTTGGCTAACAATATGGACGTCAAAGAGAGTGTGGGCCATCGTTGTTGCTCACACCTGTGCGAACTGGGGCACCTACACATTGCTCACCAACATCCCCACGTACATGAAGGAAGTGCTCAAGTTTAACATCAAAGCCGTGAGTACATTCGCAAGTATAGCTGCCACGAAGCATTTAAGATCTATGCAAATAGACCGCGAGGAAGGTTACATTGACTCCGGGAGAACAAGTGCTCATATTAACTTGTCCAGATTGTGGCTGCGTGTGATTTTGTGGGGCATAAATGAAAATGGGTGGAAATGAGTGCAAACTTGGAATATAATACACCTAACTAATTATCGTGTGCATTGTTTGATTATATAATATTTTACTGATTTCGCCAAGACAGTCATGACTCCTAGACTTAATCGTCCTTAGACTAATTATCGTCGTTATTATTATTATTATTGTTATTATTATTATGAATTACAGTGGTCTGATGCGATATAGCACTTCAACACGTTTTTAGTGCATTGTCTATTAATTTATATTACGTGGCTACATACTTGTTATCTTGTTATTAATAATGTTTATATTGTTCGCAGAATGGCGTTTTCTCGGCCATCCCTTATATTGGTTTCTGGGTGGGAATCAACGTTGCTGGCTTTGGTGCTGACGCGTTGAGAGCGAAAGGCTGGAGCACAACAATTGTGCGAAAGCTATTCCATTCATCATGTGAGTATGCAATACGCTAAGACAAAAAGAGAATACAGACTATTTCAGTCTTACTCTCCTTCGTGAAACGCTCCGAATTTTTAACGAAAGGATTACGTTTGAGGTTTTTTCCTGTATATATATATCGGCAGTTCGAAGTAGTCGTAACTTCAAAACAGGGCCGTAGCTAACTCATTTTTCGCTGGACGAGCAACGCCACGCACAGATTGCGTTCTGGACAGTTAACCGTGCGCAGTTCCTGGTTGCTTGTTGCGTAAATAGATAACAACCACATCTCTTGCCTACACTAGGTAATAGCGCCCACTCGGGAGTAGTTAGATGTAAAAACTGTTGATCCCAGTAACTCTCCTCATTAATTATAAGGCGGCTAATTACCTTCCAACCGTCTCTACGAAATCTTAAAACGTGTGAACGATTATAGTGCCCGAAGTGTCTGTGCACATGTCTACAGGCATGCACATGGATTTAACGCAGACTTGTATTATGTAAGGCTAGTAGGCGCGCGTACTAGTAGCTATTGATATCTGTGGTAGATATGTACATTCGTATATATATTATATATACATATCGTATATATTACGTACTATTATTTAGGTCGTACTGCATGCCTAAAACGATGCTCGCGCATGCGCACTATTTCAAGAGAAGATTAATATTTTGTAAAAATTATGAATTTAAAATAAAGAAGGGTCATCCTAGCATGGATTTATATGATAAAATTTCATCAGCAGGCCTCACTTAAAAAATAGGAAGACAACCTTGCATGTAAGGACACCGCTGCGTATACCAGTCAGTACACAATCTGGCTATGTTAGTATGTTAGCACATGCGCAATTTCTGAGGAGTTATATTTTGTGATGAATATGTATTTAATATGCTTAGGGGGTATCTCAGCATAGAACTATGTAATAAATTCTTATCAGTAGAACTGCGTTTATGATTAGCACAGCGCCCTAGCCTGTAGGGTGCAAAACTCCTACTTTACTTCTCCCGTCTTATCTCTTGTCTGCCTTGTCTCTCGCTTAGCCTCCCTCTTCTTCTACCGCCTTCAGCTATCTTTCCTGCCGCCTATCCGCAGTCTCCCACTCTCTCATCCTCAGCAAGCTATATTAGACTGTTTTCGTCAGTCCATACTGCACGCCTAAAACCGTGTTCGCGCATGCGCAATATCTCTCGAGAAAGATATTATTTTGCAACTATTATGCATTTAAGATGAAGAATAGTTATCCTTGCATAGATTTATGTAATAGCATTCTATCAGTAGACCTCACTTACGAAATAGGAAGACGACCTTGCATGTAAGAACCCCGCTGCGTATACCAGTCAATACACAATCTGGCTACGTTAGTATGTTAGCGCATGCGCAATATCTCACCAGAAGAGTTATATTTTGTGATGAATATGTATTTAATATGCTTAGGGGTATCTCAGAATAGATTTATGTAATAGATTCTTATCAGTAGAACTGCGTTTATGATTAGCAGAGCGCCCTAGCCTGTAGGATGCAAAACTCCTACTTCACGACCTCCCTTCTTATCCCTTGCCTCCCTTGTCGCTCGCGTAGCCTCTCTCTTCTTCTCCCGCCATCAGCGATCGTCCCTGCCGCCTATCTGCAGTCTCCCACCCTTCTCATAATCAGCAAGCTATATTATGCAGTTTTCGTTAGTCCATACTGCACGCCTGAAACCGTGCTCGCGCATGCGCAATATCTCTCGAGATAAATATTATTTGCCAACTATTATGCATTTAAAATGAAGAGGAGTTATCTTAGCATAGATTTATATAATAACATTCTATCAGTAGACCTCACTTAAGAAATAGGAAGACGACCTTGCATGTAAGGACCCCTCTGCGTACACCAGTCAGTACACAATCTGGCTACGTTAGTATGTTAGCGCATGCGCAATTTCAGACCAGAGGAGTTATATTTTGTGATGAATATGTATTTAATATGCTTAGGGGTATCTCAGAATAGATTTATGTAATAAATTCTTGTTAGTAGACCTACGTTTATGATTAGCAGAGCGCCCTAGCCTGTAGAGTTAAAAACTCCTACTTTACTCTTCCCGTCTTATCCCTTGCCTCCCTTGTCGCTCGCTTAGCCTCCCTCTTTTTCTACCGCCCTCAGCTATCTTGCCTGCCGCCTATCCGCAGTCTCCCACCCCTCTCATCCTCAGGAAGCTATATTATGCAGTTTTCGTCAGTCCATACTGCACGCCTGAAACCGTGCTCGCGCATGCGCAATAACTTTCGAGAAAAATATTATTTTGCAACTATTATGCATTTAAAATGAAGAGGAGTCATTCTAGCATAGATTTATGTAATAACATTCTAGCAGTAGACCTCACTTAAGAAATAGGAAGACGACCTTGCATGTAAAAACCCCGCTGCGTATACCAGTCAATACACAATCTGGCTATACGTTAGTATGTTAGCGCATGCGCAATATCTCACCAGAGGAGTTATATTTTGTGATGAATATGTATTTAATATTCTTAAGGGGTATCTCAGCATAGATTTGTGTAATAAATTCTTATCAGTAGACCTGCATTTATGATTAGCACAGTGCCCTAGCCTGTAGGGTGCAAAACTCCTACTTTACTCCATCCCGTCTTATCCCTTGCCTCCCTCGTCGCTCTCTTAGCCCCCCTCTTCTTCTACCGCCCTCAGCTATCTTGCCTGCCGCCTATCCTCAGTCTCCCACCCCTCTCATACTCATAAATCTATAATTATCTTATATTATAAATCCATACTTATAAATCTATAAATCTAAAATTATGCAGCTTTTGTCAGTCCATAGCAGCTCGTTCTTGGAGTTGCCAAGGCGTGCATGGTGGGCAGGGCCGTAGCCTGTGTGTGGGGTGGGGGGGGGTAAAGAGGCAGCTGCCCCTTACGATTTTGGAGCCAAATAATAAAAAAATAAAATCTTAACCTAATAATCATTAATTAATCATAACGTTGATTTTTTTTGCGTCACATAGTCCGTTGAAAGCACTTGGCTCAGCACACCCCTACCAATCCGGCCGAAGTTCGCACTCAAGACCTACGACCTTGGTGGGCATATTGCCCTTCTTCTTCCCCGCTAGACACGTCCTGCGAAAGTAATGATAAATTTTTTAGGGCCCATGCGTCATTCGAAAATTATTTAAAGCAACCCCTTCGCAAATTTACAATCCATGTCTATATCATGCAGTAACCCCATTAGCAATGACATAAACGTATCGGAAGTCGATTCTTTTTTGCTGATTCAGCTACGTGCGTGTTTGCTTCATTCGAATTTCCTAGTCGGTTCATTTGATACAATAAAGCAAATTTAAACTTGTAATATATGGGAATTTAACAATCATTAACTTTTTGTCAAGCCTGAGGTCGGGGCAAGGTATTCCTGATCAAGCTGACAGGCCTAACCTGCGATTGCTACGCGCGCGTATTTGGCGCTGGCGATTCTCACCGTGGCGGTCACCTTTCTGCTCTTTCAGTATGGAGGTAAGTACACCTAAAACACAGTCAACTATTTCCGAGAGCTTGTGTTATTAGGAAATGGAAGGAAGAATGAAGATATTAGAAGACTGACGAATTAAAAAAAAACGCAGGACAGACACAAGAAAAAAAGAACGAAGTAATCGGTGGCATAGAATGAATTCGCAGTGTGGTGGATTAGTCAGCGTAAGGATTATGATAGGAAAGCGTACTATGTAGAAGAACGAATGCGTACATGATATGATGTTCTATTCTTAACTCTTTACATCGTAAACATTGTTGTTATGTCACAGGCTTCGATTGTCAATCATGTTGACATATCTGCCCCAAGTACGCCGCGAGTGTTGTTTGGCATCTGAACACGTTCGCTACACTCTCTGGAATCTTTGCTCCATACTTGGTCGGTCAAATCACCACAGATGTGAGTTCCGCGCAACATTTGGTAACACGCGTGTTAGCATCTACAACCTAAAGTAGGTTTATTGTTACGGTAAAACTATGGCGCATTTTAATCACTTTTGTATAAGTAAAAATCTACTTTTTATTGTCACTTTTTTTGGGATTATCTGATCCAGTTTTGCCAATGATTATTATTGCCTACATATATTATTGTCTATTGTTTATGTCTTTATGCTTTTGTGTAATATTTCACACGATCATGTTTAGTATTAACCTGGTAGATAAATAGGAACTTGGCGTCTGAAATCATACAGACTTCAGTTGCCTCACTAGTTAGCAACACTGCAACTGACTGCATTACGAGTAAGAACCCTCCGATCAGTTTCTCTCCCGCTGTTGTTCGCAAAAATCCACTAGGCCTATAGCTGCATCATTCCACAGGAACACAGCAACAAGTGGCAGACGGTGTTTAACATCACTGCGCCATCATGGTAGCGGCCATCTTCTATCTTCATATTCTGGCACAGCGAGAGCTGCAAGTTGGCCACAGAGTCGAATGAAGCCGATCAATAGCTGACTTTCGATACGACGAGATAAGCAAATAGAACTCTTCATCAATTTTGGTTTTGAGTTCGCAGCCACCATAACATGTGCGTGCTTGCCCACGTGGTGTGCTCGTTCGCATATAAGCAAGAGCACGTAAACTCCTAGCTTTACGTAACAGTATGGGCGCTATAGTATAGTTATAGTTGAGAATTTTATCTAGAGACAGCCTTGAAACTGTATGGTTCATAATGATCTCTCTAAACAGCTACTTTACCTGACTTGTCAGGTTGGAACCGAAGAGATGACAAAGACCAGCAAGCCTGCTGCTGAAAAACACCGTTTCAACCTAAGAGTCAGCCAATGACGGTTTTCACCAGTATATATTCTCTCGTCAGAAACTCGCCGTGTTATCTAACGTTGAACACATATCTAAGATTGGAACAATAGACATCATATTTTTTCCCCCGATACTCGTAGACGGGCAGAGACAAGAATATTGCTCAATCGCCCTAATCACGTGGCCGAATGCCAACAGCAGGCAATCGACACGTCAACACTCTGAACACGTTTACGAT